GCCCTAACCAGTTCTCCATCTCTATAATTTTTTCTTATATAAATGGAATCATACATACTTTTGAAATTGGCTTTTTTTTCATTTAGCATAATTCCCCTGAGTTGCATCCAAATTGTTGCATGTATTGGTATTTGGTTTCTTTTTATGGCTGGGCAGTATTCCATAGTACAAAAGTACCATGGTTTTGTTTATTCACATATTATAGGAGATTTGGAAACTCTCTAGTTTGGGAGAATGAATAAAGCTGTTATAAGCATTTATGTACCAGTTTCTGAGTAAAACTAATTTTTCACTTCCCTGGATAAATACCTAAGAGTGCCTTACTAGGTTGTATAGCAAATGCATATTTAGCTTTAGAAAAACCTGCCAAACTGTTTTCCACGGTGGCTGTACCATTTTATATTTCCACTTGGAATGCATAAATGACCCAGTTCCCTGTATCTTTGCCATCATTTAGTGTAATAAGTAAACTCTTTTTATATTAATTTTTACAAGTATATGGTCACATCTCATTGTGGTTTTTTTAAAATTTTTTAAAATTTATATATGACAGCAGAATGCATTACAATTCTTATTATACATATAGAGCACAATTTCCATATCTCTGATTGTATACAAAGTATATTGACACCAATTCATGTTTTCATACATGTACTTGGGATAATAATATCCATCACATTTTTTGCATTTCCCCAGTGAATAATTATGGTAAACATTTTATGTGCTTATTTGTCATCTATATCCACACATCCTCTTCTGTGTTTTGTCTATTCACGTTTTTGTTCATTTTCTAATTAGATTGTTCCCCTGTTTCATATGGAGTTTTAGGAGTTCTCTCTATTTTCTAGATACATGTCCCTTGTTGGGTATATGAATGGCATATACTGTCTCTCAGTATAATTGTCCTTTAGTTCTCCTATCAGGATTTTTACACAGCAAACATTTTTAATTTTTATGAGGTCAAAATTGCTGATTTTTTTCCTGTTGCTGATTATGCTTTCACTGACAAGTATAAATCCTCTTCACCAAATCCAAGTTTCTAAATGTTTATAAAGGTTTTATAGTTTTACATTTAAACCTGTAGCCCATTTGGAACTAAATTTTGAACAAAGTAGGAGGTGTGGGTGTGAAGTTTTGGGTGCAGAAAGTGTGAAGCTTAGGTTAAGGTTCTTCTTCTTATTGGTTCTGGTCTGTGGATATCTATGGTCATAATGTCCACGCTCCTTTGTTGAACAGGCTGTCTTCCTGCATTGAATTGCTTTTGTCAAAGATTAACTGGGCCTATCTATTTGTGTGAATCTATATCTGAGTTCTTTACTGGGCTTCTGTAGATTTTTATATTTGCTCCTTATAAGGTCTCCCATTCCTAGTTTGCTAAGAGTTTTTATCATGAACAGGTTTGGGGTTTTGTCAAATGGTTTTTCTTCATTAATTGACAGATTTTTCTTCTTTAGCCTTCTTTTCTGGTCTTTAGCCTTTATGTTGCTTGATTTTTGAATAGCTAGTAAGCCTTGTAAAGCTGGAATAAATCTCACATTGTTGAGGTGGAACAGTCTTTTTACACATTGATATATTTGATTTGTTGATATTTTGTTCAGAATTTTTGCATCTAAGTTCAGAGATACATTTCTCTCTCTCTCTCTCTCTCTCTCTCTCTCTCTCATCTTTGGGTTTAGTATCAGGGTAAAATTGGTCTTATAAAATGAGTTGGAAAGTGTACCTTTTGCTCTATTTTATGGAAGAGAGTATTATATTTTTAATCAAATATATTATTTTTTCAAGAGTAATAATGCTGTTCTGGAAAATCAAGATATAGGATATTAAAGGAAAGAAGGACCTAACTTGCACATTCCTCTTCCACATTTAGAATATTCCTCTCTGGTCTTCACTGTGCATAAGTTGGAATGGGTAGCTCAGGCTAGGAGATTCCAAATGGTGGAGGAAATGTGACTTTAATATGTGTTTTCCTACTCACTGGTATTTTAAGAAGCACTAAGAAAGCTTAGAGATTAGCACTTGTGTAAGCAGCTTACAGGACAGCTAACTTTTTAATTACTTAGTACCTGCCCGTAATTACTTTCCTATATATAATGAGTAGTAGTTTCCCATCTGTCAGAGGGATCAAGAACCAATGATTATAAAGATATCGAGCTTAGGCTTTTTAAAAAATATTTTATTACATTTAGTTTTGAAATTTTCACGTAATAAAACTTACTCTGTGGTGTGTACTCATGAGCTCCAACAAATGCATGGATTTGTTCATCTACAACTGTGATCAAGATACCCAGTAGTCCATCATCCCTCAAAAAATTACTATGTTCTGCCTCTGAAGTCAAGTACTCCTTCAACTACAACCTTTGGCAACCCCAATCTGTTCTCTAGTGATCTATATAATTTGCCTTTCCAGAGTGTCATAAATAAAATCAAATATTATAGATCCTTTTGGTGGTGGATATTTTTTACTTAGTGAAATGTTTTTATGATTCATCTTCCATTGTACCTAGTTCCCTTTTCTTTTTCTTCTTCTTCCTCCCCCACTTTCTCCTCCTCCTCCTCCTCCTCCTTCTTCTTCTTTTTCCTTGCTCAGTGAAGTTCCTATTAGCTTTATTTATTTCATGTCTAGTCCACCAAAGTACTTTTAGAGGAATTCCATAGTGATTGGTTACCTGGCTTAAAGTCATGTGGTCCCATTATCAGGCTGCTAAGATCAGAGATAAAATGATTAAGAGTTAACCATGACTAAACTAGTCAGTTACCTGGTAGAAGACCTCTGCCCAACAGAGGCAGTGATAGGCAAGTCTACTCAAATCCCTTGCGACTCCGTACCAGCCAGGAGTAGTAGAGACAGAACCAGAAAGCAGCCGCTTAGAACAGGGAACAATGAATGGCTATGTTCCCTGGAGACAGAAAATAGAGACCAGTTCCTTAGAACTCCACATTGTCTTGAACTATGTTTCCTTCTGCTTATGACATAAATGTTTGGTCTTTTAGTTTGACAGGTCTCTGGGAGAAGGATTGTGACACTCCCCCACTCCCCCAAACCTGCTCCATTAATAATAATAGGATTAAAAATGCTATTACTGATGATTGTGGGTTATCTCTTTCAAGAGTATTGGCGTAGGAGACAAGGAAGATCCTGGCACTCTAAATCATTCATTTTACAGATAAGGAAACTGAGATTCAAAGAAGTGGCAATCTTCTCACCTAGCAGAGAAATGGTAAATTCAAACCTGAATGTAGATCTAGCCTGGCACTTTCATGAATGTAAAAATGCATCAAGAAATGCAGATTCCATAAATCTGGAGTAGGGCCTAAAATCCTGCATTTTCTAGGATTTTAGAAATCCTGGCAGGAGATACTGATGTTGTTCCACTTTAAGTGACAACATTCTGGACCACTCAGCCTACAGCCCTTCCCAATGCCCTTAAGAATTAATTGCTGTTCTTCATGAAGGAAATGGAGAACACTATTTGACAGTTTGTTAACCAGGCTTTTAATTTTCCTTTTGCTGGTATGTAGGAGCAGAGGAAGATGTGAATGGTAATGGAGATGCAGAGGAGAGAGGGAGGGACCCACACAGACTACAAACACTTTGCAGCTTGGCAGACTGTTTGCTGCTTTCACAACTGCTCTAATTTTGGTAAAGATCATATATAAGAAACTCTCAAGCTATTTATCTACTCATGTCATCTGTTTGAGGCTACCAATTAATATTTCCCTGCCTAGGAAGGATAAATTGATGTTCTTTAAAATCTTATGAAGTTCAGTTCTCCAATGTGTAGCAACTTAGGAAAGGCACACTAAAATTCACAAGCAAAGCCTACAAGTGACCAGCCCATGTACATCTTGGTTGTGTCTGTTTTGTTGTTGGTAGAGTAGAAGAATGCAAGGTGTTCCCAAGCTTGGTCCTTGCTCTTAGATCCACTGTGAACTTTATAAGCAGTCTTGAATAAATCATCTGGTGTTTCTATGATGAATTTATCAAGTAAGCTTACTAGCATATAAGCTAAGATCTGTTTAAAATCATGTGAAGTAACATATAAATGAATACTAGTGACTAAATGCAATTGGAGGACGAAGCCAAGTGTCCCAGTGAAATAGATCATAGCCTGGGCCCTGCACCCTGAAATCTCTGGTTATAGACAACCAAGCAATCGATTTTCAAACAAATGTCATTGGCTCACAACTCCTAGCTATTACTTGAGCCTCTTCTCTGTTAAATGTCAGTGAATTTGATATCACTCCCAACTTGAAGTTTCCATCTCCCAGAGGAAGTACATGTAATTTCACTAAGGAACAGAGATATCACATGTTTTTCAATGGCACTATTTACATGATCAAATCCCTTTTGCTGCAGGAAGTACTGAGGTTCATTCTCTGCAGTTATCTAAC